CATAAAATTAACTACCACACATATACACATCTTCTACTCTGAAACTTTCAGACCAAAAATAAATGCTTTCAGGGTCAAAAAGTAAGTTATCTACAAAAAAATTAAATTGAATTGCCATCATACCTCATCAGCAACACTTAATGTTTGAGACTGGAGATATATCTTCAAAGTTTTGATAGAAACTGACTTTCAATCCAGAATTCCTTATACACAAAGACTAGGGTTTTTTTTAGGTTGAGGAGTGGAATAAAAAAATTTGGGATATTATTATGAAAAATAATTAGCAGAGAACACATTCCAACTAAATGTAAGTTGTAGGGGAAAAAAAGAGATAAAAATGTGGAGCAGAGCACTATTAAATATGTAGCTACTAAAAAATTAAATGCCAGGCATGGCAGGGCACATCGGCTCATGCCTGTAGTCCCAGCACACTGAGAGGCCAAGGAGGGAGGATCACTTGAGCCTAGGAGTTTTACACCAGTCTGGGTAATACAGCATGACCTTGTCTTCACACAGACACACATACACAAAAAAACTTAGGCAGGTGTAGTGATGCCCACCTGTAGTCTCAATTATTTGAGAGGCTGAAGCAGAAGGATCGCCCGAGCCCACATCAAGTACCACTGCACTTCAGCCTGGGTAACAGAATGAGATCTTGGAAAAAAAGAAAAACAAGCAAATAGTTGAATACATATTTCTATGAAAATATTTTAAAGCTCTGCCTAGTAGAAAATACTGTAAATACATCCAAAAGACAACAACAAACTGGATGAAAATAGTAGTGAGTTTCTCATGTAAGCATGAGAAACTTCCATGTGTAGATATCTTGTGTTTATTGCCTGGCATCCAGGACCACAGTTTTGCTCTGGGAGTACAGTTCTGGATATGCAGCTGGAGTTAAGGCCCCAGTCCCAGCCCTGAGGGGTCAGATCATTTCATCTTCCTAGTCACAGGATTGATTCAAGCATGAGCACATGACCCATTTGAGGACAACAAGAATGAGTGAATGACAGGACTTGTAAACAACTAAAAGAGACTCTTCCACTGAATTTGGTGGTATGAGAATGTGAAGGTGCAGCCTTCACAAGGAGGGCCAGCCTGAGGATAAAGCAGAAAAGAGCAGACAAAACCAAGAAACAAACACCAGAGACATGCTTTGGTGTTTAAGTAGATTAGATAGAAATAATCAGAATGCTCAGTTTTTAAATGTATCAAGAGAGGGGTTGGTAACAATTGGAAGAGACTTTGAGGCTGAATTGTGATATATAGAAAACTAATCAAATGAAAAAGTTGTTATTTTTAGATGTTGTGCATTGAATTATATTTTCCAAAGGGATATTTTGAAAACCTAACCATTCCACCACCACCCCTGTACCAGTGAATGTGATCTTGTTTGCAAATACGGTCTTTGCAAACATAATCAAGATGAGATCCTAGTGAATTAGGGTGGTCCCTAAATGCAGTGACTGGTGTCTGTATATGGAGCAAGAGATTTGGAGACACAAAACCATGGGAAGTTGTCCATATAAAGATGAAGGCAGAGATGGAAGATATGCTTCCACAAGCCAAGGAAGACCAAGGATTGCTGGCATCCACCAGAAGCTAATGGAGGCAAGGAAAGATTCTTCCTCTGGTGATTTCATAAGGAGCATGGTTCTGCCAACACTTTGATTTCAACCTTCTGCTTGCTAAAACTTTGAGACCATAACTGTCTGGTATTTAAAGATACTCAGTTTGTGGTAATTTGTAAGGGTAGCCTTAGAAAACTAACACATTAATTATTAACTTCAAGGGAAAGCAAAAAGTTGTGCAAAAAAGCAAATGTAGCTGGTAAAATGCATGGATAAGTTTTGAGTAGCATTTATATAGGCAGAATAATGTAAGAAAATCATGATGTAATCATAATATGAAGAAAGGGACAGATAGACTGGCAACTGTGTTTGTTTATTGGAGGCAGGATAATTATTATTTATCATTTTTTATTTTTTGAGTTGAGTTCTCTCTGTTGCCTAGGCTAAAGTGCTGTGGCACAATCACAGCTCACTACCTTCTAGGTTCAGGTGATTCTTCTACCTCAGTCTCCAGAATAGCTGGGACTAGAGGCACACACCATCATACCCGGCTAATTTTTTGATTATTTTTTTTTGTAGAGATGAGCTTGCTATGTTGTCTAGACTGTTCTCAAACTCCTGGGCTCAAGTAATCCTCCTGTCTCCGCCTCCCAAAGTGCTGGGATTACAGGAATGAGTCACTGCACCCAGCCAGAAGAATTAAATTCTTACTTTCCATCATAGGAACTTGACGGATATACTTAAGTTTTAAAAATCAAGTATTAGTACAAGTTTGGTATACAGAGATATGTAAATAAATGTTAAAAGAAACAGCTAAAAGTTAAAAGTGGTCACTTCTGGAAAATGAGACATGAGAAACTGAGATGCTAAAATGAACAGCTTTTTCATTATCAGTCATATAGAATTATTTGGTCCATTAAACTACACATGAATCAACTTTGATGAAAATAAAAGCATAATGTAAGAAGGAAAAATTTAAAAATGAACAACTTTAAAAGGAAGAAACTAAATTGATGAACATGTACCTATATGAACCTCAATTAGCAATCTAGACTAATTTAATTAAAAATAAACAAACTAAAAATAATTCTAATAATATTGAATTAAATACTTAATTGACCACCAAGAGGTGGCAGGAGTATAAGTACAATTAGTTTGGTAATGCCTAGCAAAACTGAATATATGCATACACTAAAACCCAACTGATCTACTCAAGTTTGAATCCCAGGAAACTTCTGTACAATTATCAGAAGAAAAAATGTTTAAGAAAGTTAATCACCATGTTGCTCATAATATTGAAAACCTGAAAAGAACTAAATGTTTACCAGTAGACATTTATCCAATCCAGATAGAAAACACCTCAAATTTTTTTATCTAGTAAAATGTTTTTTTTGTAGGTTTTTTTTGTGGGGGGGGGGGTTTGAGTTGGAGTCTCACTCTGTTGCCCAGGCTGGAGTGCAATGGCACACTCACGGCCACCACAACTTCCACCTGCTGGGCTCAGGCGATTCTTCCGCCTCAGCCTTCCAAGTAGCTGGAACTACAGGCGCGCGCTATCACGCCAGGCTAATTTTTGATTTATTGTAGAGATGAGGTCTCGCCAAGTTGCCCA